TTTTTTTCAATTTTTTTTTACGGGCCGCGGTTAACCCGCGGCCCGTAGGGGTGCAACCCGCGAAGCCCGCGGGTTACACCTCCTTGGCCCGTGAACCGCCCGCACGGGTCACGGGTCGGCCCGCGGTCCCCGTTTTCACGGGCCGGTTTTTACGGGTCATGGCTGGCCCGTCCGTCTTGACACCTCTAGACGCATTCCAAGAACTTCGTAAAAGCATGTCGAAGATCTCAGCCATGGTATCCCCAGTCCATCCAATCAAACATATCCATAGGGATTCAGCTACCCTTATTGGCATTTCTTCATTTCCCTGAGCAATAGATCTTATTCCACAAGAAATCATTATAGAATCCCCATCCTTGTTCACTTCGTTCACAAGTCCCCTACGATGATATGGTGGCCAACTCGACATTCGAATATTCAAAAGCAATTCTCCAAGTGACAAATGCTCGTTGCTGGGGCGATAGGATATTTGCAGAACAATGAAGCATAGTACAAATCAGTCGAGTATTTGAAATTATTGTGGAGTACTATATAAATAGAAGAGACGCATTTATCCATTACTTTTGGTCTGACTCATCCAATTGTTTATCCCATTTGAATTGAATAAACCATAGTAACCTACATTAAATCACTAATAGCCACGTATATGTCAAGTTTGACAACCACAATAGTAATCAATTACTCGAAAATTATCCTTTTATTTTCGAAAAAATGATAATAGATCATGTTTTCAACTTATTAAAGTCGTGCAAATGGAAAAGTTGAATCCTTAAATATTTCATGTTTCTTATAGCTCTCCATGATATATCTGCATGTTTTAAAGAAACAAGAGAAATGTTTATTAAGACAAGTTCTGTCGTTTTTTAAGCTTACTAATGATAGTGGAAAAAAGAAGTTGATAAAGAAGGATAATCCCAATTTTAAACAAAACATGGTCCGTTAATATTGGATGGAAATGTGGTTTTATTTTGCCAAATCTCTATCCATCTATCAAGTCGATGAGCTGATAAATATAGTTGAATACTCAACTTGTGCTCATGGTAAATTTCATCCTCGAGAGAGTCACCACTAGTTTCTTTTAGGGTGCGTTTAATTACAATGGTGGAAAATGGATGGAAAGAAAATATTTTATACGAAAAAGATTAGACTAGAAAATGTTTTGCAGAAAAAATAATTTCAAGTGTGTTTGATTGATATAATTTTCCACTCGAAAAATTTTTAAATTTTCTATTCGTTTGGTTTTGTTTTACATGAAAATTGTCCATTAAAGTGATATTTTTTTTCCACAATAGGTTATAAAATTTGTTTCCACTGCCAAAAAGTGAAAAAAAAAGGGGAAAAAATTTGTTTTCTAAAAAATCATTTTTTCATCAAAGTTCATTGTTCGTTTGACTTTATTTTACATGAAAATTGTTCATTAAAGTGAAATTTTTTTTTACCATTGATTATGACATTTGTTCCATTNCGTGTGAGGAAAATCCGGAAAATATTTTCCGTGTAAATTTTCGCCTATCATACAACCAAAAAAGTGGAAAGTGGAAAATATTTTCCTACTTCCCCGAAAAACACGCCTAAATTTTATCATCAAAATCCATCTTCTAGTAAGAAATATATAAAGGGAAGTTTGGCACAAAGGATCCCTAAAATTTGCATTCAATTGATCCTTTTTTAATTAAAAAAGACGTGCATTTCAAAAAGGTTGGGAAATTTGTAATAACAAATTTAAGTTTATCCTGCCATACCAACCTCAAATCATCAATAAATATAAGTGAATGAATTTGTTAGTATACGATGAAACCTGCTCTGGCTTTTCACTTTATGATGTCCATCCGTGTAGAAGTAATAATTATTAAGACTAAAAAAAAAGGAAAATAAAGCATATTTCATCCTCTACCTCCAACATTGTTTTAAAAAGCATAAAAATACAACTTCTAAAACTTGTTAGACTCCACAGATTTAATTAATTAAGATACTGAAATCAACAAGTTGTGGATTGCAAAAGTTCTCGTAAACATAATTACCATCACTTAACCACCCCCCTCAACAGTTTTAACTTTGGAATTAGTTACTCTTAGAAACCTCTCATTTTCTAAAACTCATTTTCAATCACATATCCAAGAAATAATTTTGCACGTGAGCCTATAATTTTTCTATACTTTTTAATCATAACCAACCAACCTAGGGCTCAAGTCTTTCCGGATAGTTACTATAGACACAAATAGTGGAAACGATTGAATATACCATGATCTCCCTGAGTCCCGACAAAGTTCTTTGCTTTCAATATAATATGGATCCAGTGAGAGACTCGATTGCATAGATTTTCTTTTGAAAACCACATTAGCATGTCAACACACCTGCAGATTTTTTTCAACAGTTACATGTGGGAGAAGCTTATTGCTGAAAACAGAATAGACAAAAAATTTACACCAATTATATACTCAGAGAAAGAGAGCCAGAATATTCAAAACTTAACAGAACTTTATACCTTCACGGCAGGTTTACTCAGAGATGGCTCCAATATCAAAATTCAATAATAGATCTAAATACTCATGAACCATTGCCATATGCTAGTCATCTTTTACGTGTCAATTTTGAAGCAGTCCATTTGAAATAACCACAGTTCGCTTCAGGATTAGATGCAGGTCCCTGAGACAGGTGAAAATACTAGTCAAAACAAAAACAAAAATATTTGATTGCAAGATCCTAGCTTCACCAGCATTAGCACTCTCCGCATATAATCTCTGTACCAATCAAGCACCTTAACGCCATGTAACAGGGCCATTTAAAATGTTATCAATACAAAGCAAAATACAAATACATTTTTTGTAGTTCTTTAATAGTGTGTTTGTAAAAGCAACCTTAAAAATAGTAGCTTTCAGAAAATTTTGATACCAACAGGCTGGAGGTATCTGAATCTCACCAGGGTAATGCTACGCATTAATATTACTGCAAGGCCAAAAATTGAGGTGTACTGAATGCAATGTCCAAACAACATTCTTCTCTTCATTTAACAAACACAAACCCGAAATATTTTAAGAGAATGAAGGCAAGTATAGGTACGGATACCTCAGCACGTGCACAGACATAAAATTGGCGACCTAGATTCGGACCAGCTTTCTTCACCACTCGAGAAACGCAGGGTTCCTTATGACCCTTGCAAAGAGGAATACTATTCTGCATCAGTTGTTGAATCCTTTGCCACTCTACTATGGCCACGTTCTTTTCATTTTCTAGAAGTTGAGAGCCATCAATCCCATTTTCCTCTTGCATTGGCACACTTTGTTGTAAATCCCACTCCTTTTGAGCATCACATTCACCACTTTCACCAATAATTTCATTGGATTCACAACAAGGATTAGAGAAATTTGCTTGATTAAGCTTATTGTCTGCAAACAAACTGCTTGAGTTGTCACTGTTACTTGTCTGGAAGAACGATTTGAGTGAAAGCTGGGACCAATGACTGTGTCTTGCTTTCTGCTTCTTCTCCTCTACTGAGGCCAACAATTTAGCACCATTAATATCAGTGCAAGGTGAGTTACAGGATGATTCTTTGTCAGAACATTCAGGAGCCTCTGCTGGGGTAGAAAATACACCTTCGTGTGTCAAGTTTAATGAAGATGAGCTGCAGGAATGTGGTGATCGTTTCCCAAGTAGATTGCAACTTTGGAGAACAGTATTTTCTTTTGAAAAAGAACTTGATCCTCCACATCTAAATTCTTCAACAGATTTCCTTTTAACTAACATTGACACTGTCAAATCACAGCATATGGATGAAAAATATTATAGTTAGAACAGCTTCATGTAAAAACTAGGGGAAAAATATTAGGAAGGCCTCAAATAAAATCATATTCAAGAGATACAACAAAATTTACTCCTGTACAAAGATCGAGTAAAGAAAGTTAATACTAAAAGATAGAGCCGATAAACATTGCCTCACTACTCCATAGCAATGATGAGAAAGCAAACAGTTCACTGGCAAAAAGTATCATGCTGCCACAATCCAGCAGATGATACTTATGGTCAAAGTTAAGCAAGTGACAGATGAGACACAAAACTAATTGGCTCTCATTAGTCCATGCACTTATTGCATATTTTTAAGCGATTAAGAAGATAAGGAATGTGGTAACGTCATACATAGAACACCAATTTGGGAGTTAGAGTAGAGAGATGAGTTTGGCCATTGATTAATTGATGCAAATTCTTACTATTTGAAGTGATTTGATCACTTCTTTAAAGAAAAAATTGTAGCTTTGCTTGGTTATGTATTGATCAGGACCTATAATGAAATATGAAAAATCACCCTATTAACTACAATATTTTAAAAAATTGCCAATCATTTTCTTTTCCAAGAAGTGAACTTCTAGAAGATTATCATGTTAATAAAATGGTTAAAGCTACTGTTTGGAACCATTGGGATATGATAGAAAACGAAGCTATGAGAAGAACCCAGAAGACAAGAATTATAGTTGTAACAATGTCTGTAGATTGTGCAAATTAAATTAAATATAATTAACAAAGTAATCAAAGTAAAAAAATACTATGAGAAATTAACATTAGTTGAATAATTACAAAATAAAACAAGAACGTTGAAATGTATTTAAAATTTATTAACTAGAACAAATTTACAAGTTTGGACTAGGAACTGGTAAAGGAATTTAAATACTACTTGCAACACAAGCTGATACAAGACTTAATATTACAGAAGAAATTGAATATTGAAAACTCTCAACACTCAACCTGTTACAAGTAAATGCAAGAGAACTTAAGAATGCCAGTGAAGATAGAACTGAACTCCAACTCTAAAGCTTGAATCTAACTCTCAAATGTGCTGGGTCTGTGCAAAATTTCTAATGATCTATATTTCATTTCCTAATCTGTTTCAGAATCTTGCTTAGCTGCTTCCAATTTTCCATTTAGCGATGTGTGGGACGTATTCTTTTCTATTTATTCTTTTTAAGGCCATCAATTGATGCAGGCTACAATAGGCTCCAGGAAAAGCAAAATAAAAGAAAGGGACAATTTAGGGAACTGAATCAAATCAGTGAATTGAGCATTGAAGACATTCACTTGTTAGTTTGATACTCTGAATCAAGTGTTTCCGGGTGCTTTCTACATCTACATCTGTACTTTCTAGAATTATTCAGGATATGGTTTAAGTTGAGCCTTAGGTTGGTTGGTTCATGTTATGATTTGATGGTCTTAATGTCCAGAATAGGTTTATTTGTTCATTAAATTAGATTGCTTATAAAGAGCCTATCTCGTAACACTAATTTTTTGGAGTCTATAAACATACATCTACTTTTCTTTACACATTTTAATTGGAGATGTGATATAATTTAGTCTTGACAGATCTATTGAAGCTTTCTTGTATATGTTCTTTTGCCTCGGCATCAAACCCTACACTAGAGAAACTAGCCTCAAGTTTTAGAAGTGTATGAACGGGGTAATTTTGTAGTTTTTGGTATGAGAAGATGTTCTGTTTTCTTTTCACGTTGAGGCTGAACATAAACCTGTGCTTGAGATACAGGTGTTACAGTGGATAAGGAATATATGGATTAAAGCGCTGTGAGTGATTTATTTAAACTCCATGCTTTCTTTCCTTTCAATGAAAATTCAATCAAGTAGAGCAAATTAAGTTCAATTATTTTATTTTAAGCAAATAAGTAGTAAGTTTATCAGAATTCCCCTCATCGGATTTGAACCGATAACTTATGACTTATCATGGTGTGACTCTGCCTCTGAATTGAAGGGCTTATTTGATTCAATTCTCAAAGGCACCTAGACTCTACTAGGTTAAGTTATACCTAAAACTCTAATCATTTTATTTCTATCTTTCCATGCATAACCAAAGAATGGAAAAGACATGAGATAAGAAATCCAATGTTGAATTCAAGTGTAGGCTACAAAAGCTACGTATGGGAATCCACAAAGAAACGATCCATTTAATCAAGATACACAATGAGGACAATGAACTTGTTAAGAACAGGAAATGTCATTTTTGTGTGACAAAAGCTAAACCATTAGTTGTACCCCATGTTGAAATAACAATAACTAAATGAAGGACCAGTATTCATATCACAAAACTCATCTAAAATCAAGAAAACAATGTCCATATCTTTGAGAGAATAGGACCTCATTTCAACTTATTCCTCATCCAACTGTGGCTTCTTAAGTTGAAATATTTATTTTCTGTGCTTTTCATGCAACAACACAAGCTTTGGCTACACAGTAGTCTGCTCCTGTTTCAAAATTCTATCAGCCCCAACAAACTCTTATCTTTACTACTTCATCTTGTGCCTATGTAATCTCCAGCAGTTCAAATCTACTTTTGGTTATCGAATATGAACCATTTTGAGGACTCACAAGGTAGCTTCAGTTATAGAGGGCACTGGGTCCAAATTAGAAGACAATTTGAAGATTTTCAGTCTTCATGAATGATACGTCTTCATGGCTAACCATTCCCTTCTTTAAGAGAACATTTGCCACCATAGCCAGCCATTAACTGATTCTAGAAAATTTTACAAGGATGTCTAGATATTTTTTCTTTGAAATAATAGTGTTTCGGCCCCCACTATCAGACCCCGTACCTGAGTGCTACTCATTAATATCGAATTTAGGGCCAAATTATTCAAACCCAAATATTTAGTAACCTAAATGAAAGACTGGCCAAAGTTCAGGGACCAATAAGTAAATTCTGAAAATTCAGAGCGTAGTAGTGACTTAGGTTCTAAGTAAGCTGCAGAAATAAATCGTTCGGAATATCAGATGGAAGCAAGAAAATGAACTAAGAAATGTCCTAGAAGCCTTACACATCATGCCTACAACTGGTGGGCATCTCACAAACCCAAGATAGAACTCTAATTGCTGCAAAGCTCATTTTCATTTTCTTCCCCATTTCCCCCAACCTGAAATGGAAGTTTACAGCCATATTTATAGACTTTCCATGACTATCACTACACTTAATTGGAAATAACAATCTTTAAGTACTCAACTAACAACTTCTAAACTGCATAAAATATATCCTTATACCAATTATTTGACCTCCTTTAACTGCAGATCAACCTATTCATGGCCTTTCTAGAAAACAACAAGACTCCATGCTTTTGGTGGGGAAACAATATTACATAACTAAAAAAGAGAATCAAAATGCCGACTTTTTTGTTTTCACTTTATCTCATTTTATGTCCTTGATTAACCTTCAATGGTTGCTACCATTATTCAGTTTTGCCAAAAAAATTATGCTACGCTGCACTCCACAGTTCAGAGGTATTTTTATCATTTATAGAAAGTTGAGCCTCAGATTTGGTAAATTAATGTTTGTAAAATTACATGTGTAAGATATTCTCAAATCTAATAAATGCCAAGTTAAACCAACAAAATTATCCCCTCCACTCCAAATTAACGGGCCTCATTTCATTTTTGGGCATCACAAATTAATGATAGGCCACCTAAAATGAAATAGAATATCGCATTCTGTATACTTGATACGTTCGAAGTCAAATCCATGAAATTGATTGTGTGATGTAACACGTCAAAAGACAATTGACGACAAATGCAATCGAACTACTAGAGTTGTAGGTGACAGAGAGGAGAAGAGAAAGGGGAAGACAAGAAGAGAGAGAATTTTATACATTTATTCATTGCCTAAGTGTGTGTAATGCAAAAGTCCTACTCCTATTTATAGTTGAAATCTTAACTAAACAAGGAAATATAGTAAAATTCATAAAAATACTTCCTAATTGCTTTTCCTATTATAAACATCAAGTCTACAGTAATTTTGCAATGTAATACCATTAAGAATCTCCATTAATATTATTGGACAAATACACCAATAAACAATTTTTTAATGGCTATTAAAATACTCATGCCAAGTCAACCAATAAATGATGTACAGGAAGGCCAGTATAAAATGTACATTCAAAATATGTTTGGGATCTCACACACACACACACACAGACAGATACATATACATATATTATCCAAACAATAAGGGATCGCACCTAGAGTCTGCTGACATCCGTAGACCTGGGGACAGTATCTAGTAGATAATGGGGGAGTATTATGGGGTTGAATATTGGAGATCTCAACCAAGCTCATATAGACAGGAACGTGATCTGAGCCTTCCAATTTGACATTTCTCCCTCCTTTCCACCTGTACATAGAAGACGTGACAGCAAGAACAAATATATCACAGCAAGCTAAGAAATTAATGTGCATTTGTATAGTAGCAAAAAACATGATATTCATATGTTGTGATTGTGACAGCATCTCCCTATGGAACTCATATAGAAAGTTATAGGAACTTCTTTATATTCAGAAAAATAATTAATTACATCTTACAATCCTAGCCTCTAAATATACTAGAGCACAATAGATGGAAAAAGGAAACAAATATTTTATCTAAGGAAGGAAAAAGATACTTCCTAAATCAACTCTAATTACAATATTCCCATATTAAAGAACGTGATTTCCTACACTCCCCCTCAAGTTGGATCATAGATATTGATCATATCCAACTTGTTGATGCACTCGTCGAATGTTTGCTTCTGTAGACCTTTGGTGAATACATCTGCAGTCTATTTTCTAGTAGGAACGTAGATTATACAGATAGTTCCACTTTCAACTTTTTCTTTAATGAAGTGTCTGTCCACTTCTACATGTTTGGTTCTGTCATGTTGAACCGGATTGAGTGAGATGCTGATCGCCGCTTTGTTGTCACAATAGAGTTTAATTCGGGCTTTTGTTGAAATCTGTAGCTCATCCAAAAGTTTTTTTAGCCATAAATCTTCACATATTCCCTGAGCAACTGCTCTAAACTCTGCTTCTGCACTACTTCTGGCTACTACATTTTGTTTCTTACTTTTCCAGGTAACTAAGTTTCCCCATACAAAAGTACAATAGCCAGTGGTTGATCTCCTATCTTCTGTTGCTCCTGCCCAGTCAGCATCAGTGAATATTTCTATTTCCTTTTCCTCATATTTTTTGAACAGTCCTTTCCCAGGTGAGCCTTTGAGATATCTTAGAATTCTGTATACTGCTTCTAGATGGGTTTCCCTTGGAGCATGCATGTGCTGGCTTACTACACTTACTGCGAATGCAATGTCAGGTCTAGTATGAGATAGGTAGATCAACTTTCCCACTAGTTTTTGATATCTATCTTTTTCAACAAATTCTCCAGTATTCTCTGTTTTTCTTCCGGTGTCCATTGGAGTATCACATGGTTTACACCCAAGCATACCAGTTTCAATAAGGAGGTCTAGAACATATTTTCGTTGGGACACACTGATTCCCTTCATTGATCTAGCTACTTCCATACCTAGAAAATATCGCATTTATCCCAGGACTTTCACTTCAAACTCTGCAGCTAACCCTTCCATTCCTAGAAAATATCGCATTTATCCCAGGACTTTCACTTCAAACTCTGCAGCTAAACCTTTTTTTAGCCTCTCTATCTCAACTGTATTATCTCCAGTAAGAATTATGTCGTCAACATAGACAATCAGAATAGTCTTTATCCCATCTTCAAATATTCTGAAAAACATAGTATGGTCTGATTGCCCCTGTTGGTATCCTTGCCTTTTCAACACGTTTGCAAATCTGTCAAACCATTCCCTTGGTGACTGTTTGAGACCATACAGAGACTTTTTTAGTTTGCATACTTTATTTTCTCCATTCCCTTTAGAAAAACCAGGTGGTAGCATCATATAGACTTCTTCTTCCAGCTTCCTATTCAGAAATGCATTCTTAATATCAAGTTGTTGGAGTGGCCAGTCCATATTTGCTGCTAGTGATAGGAGAACCCGAACTGTATTCAGTTTTGCAACTGGTGCGAATGTTTCTGAGTAGTCTATGCCATAAGTTTGAGTATATCCCTTTGCAACCAGACGAGCCTTGTATCGTTCTATTGTTCCATCTGCTCTGTATTTCACATTAAACACCCATTTACACCCAACAGGTCTCTTCCCTTTTGGTAGTTCCATGACATCCCAGGTTTTATTTGCTTCTAGTGCTTTCATTTCATCCATTACTGCGTTTCTCCACTTGGGAATTTCCAAGGCCTCCTGAATGTTTCTTGGAATTTCTGTGCTATCAAGGTTAGAAACAAATGTTCGAAATTGTGAAGATAGAGTATTATAAGCAACAAATTTTGAGATAGGATGAAGAGTGCATGACCGAGTTTGTTTCCTGAGGGCAATAGGTAGATCATCAGTGCCAAGTAATTTGGGAGAAGGCTCATGAGGATTTGGAGCTATCACCAGTTCTGACTCTCTTGGTGCTTCGAGTGTAAGTTTCCCTTTATCCTTTGATTTTGACTTTCTTGAGTAAACAATCATCTTTTTGTCATGTTGTTCTTTCTGTTCTCCCCCTGAGTTTAATGTGTCTGATGTAAATGGCATGTTAGATTCAGTGTTTGGGATAGAATTGGGAGGACCAAGGTCAAAAGGTATTTGCAGGAACCGATCTTCATTTTCATTTTCACTGGGGATCTCCCCCTGAAGAGAGGTTTTGTGGAAGTAGGGGTCGTTTTCGAAGAAAGTGACATCCAGGCTGATAAATAGTTTCTTTGTGATTGGGTCATAGCATTTATACCCCTTTTAGGTAGGGGAGTAACCAATGAACACACACTTAAGTGCTCGGGGTTCAAGTTTGGTACGAAGATGAGAATGGATGTGGACAAAGGCGGTACATCCAAATAGTTTTAGAGGTAGGTCGGAGGTGAGGCGATTGTTAGGGAAAAATTTCTGGAATTTGTGGAGAGGAGTGTCGAAATTGAGAGTGCGACTGGGCATTCTGTTTATGAGGTAGGCAGATGTTAGAATAGCATCCCCCCAAAAAGTGTTGCGCATATGTGTAGTGAACATTAGGGCTCGAGCTACCTCAAGTGTCTATTTTTCCGTTCTGCTACCCCATTTTGTTGGGGAGTATCAACACAAGAACTCTGGTGAATTATTCCATTTTCTTGGAGATAGGTTCTTAGAGTACTGTTGAAATACTCTGTGCCATTGTCAGTACGCAAAATTTGAATTTTAGTGTGAAATTGAGTTTGGACCATGGAGTGAAAATTTATGAACACAGAACGAACGTCAATTTTTTCCTTTAGCAGATAAACCCAACAGATTCGAGTATGGTCGTCGATAAATGTGACGAACCACTTGGTGTGGGTACGGTTAGGGATTCGAGAAGGTCCCCATAGATCACTGTGTATTAAGGTGAATGGCCTAGATGGTTTGTACACGGACTTGTGGAATGACGAACGATGATGTTTTGCAAATTCACAAATGTCACACTTCATATCAAAAAGGTTTTATTCGAAAAGAGTGAAGGAAATACATGTCTTAGATATTGAAAATTGGGATGACCCATTCGATAATGCCATAAAAGAATTTCATTATTCTTAGGAACAGAAACAGAATCACAACTAGCAAATCGACGTTGGTGACTCACATCAGTCTTGTCAAAGTAGTAGAGTCCCTCACAGGCTCACACTCTTTAGCACTGCCAATCGTCTTCCCCGATGATAGGTCCTGAAAGACACAGTAAGAGGGAAAAAAATGAGCTGAGCAATTTGAACCCTTTGATAATTGACTAACGGACAATAAATTACATGATAGATTTGGAACATGTAGTACATTTTCAAGTGTAATGAAATTAGATATTCGAATACTCCCCTTTCCAGCGACTGGAGAAAGAGAGCTATCTGCAATTTTAACTTTAAGGTTGCATGCACAAGGTGAGTATGACACAAAAAAATGGTGGGAGTCCGTCATATGATCGGACGCACCAGAATCGATAATCCACGATGGTTTAGAGAGTAAGGTGGTGTTAAGACCGTGTAGGATAGTACCTCTGTGAGCCAAAGAACTTGAAGAGCTGGGTGGTTGAAAATTCGAGAACATTTGTTGAAGTTGTTCCAGCTGTGCAGAACTAAATGCATTGCTGGAAGTGGAATTTGGTGTTTCAGATGAATGGACTGCAGCTTGGTAGATGGAATTTCTAGGGTTTTGCCGTGATTTCCAATCGGGTGGTTTTCCATGCAAATCCCAACACGTGTCCTCTTTGTGGTCTGATTTTCGACAGTGGTCGCACCATGGTCGACCCATTTGTTGTTTTGGGCTGGGTCCAAATTCTTTTGCACCTCTATGCACCTGGGCCCCCAAATTAGGGCCAAAGGATTTAGACCCATCATATAAATTTCTCCTAAACTTGGCAGTACCCCCTTTAGGCCCATTTTCATTTGCTCCAGCAGGCCTAAAGGAATCAGATAAAAGGGCCGAACCCTCCTGGTCAGGCCCAGCACCTTCCTTCTTCAACATAATCATCCGGCGATTCTCCCTGCGTCGGACATCAGCAAAGGCGTCACGGGTGGAGGGCAATGGCCGGCGGCTAAGGATCTGCCCCCTGACGTCATCGAGTTCCCTGTCCAGTCCAGCCAAAAATTCGTACAATCGCTCAGTCTCCACCCTCTTCTTATACCGAACGCCATCGCTAGGGCAATCCCACTGTTCATCCATACTTAGGTCCAATTCTTGCCATAAAGATGACATCTCCATATAATACTCAGTCACACTCCGTTCTCCTTGCTTCGCCTTCCAAAGTTTCGTTTTAATTTCAAAAATTTGTGAAGAGTCCTCCGTGTCGGAGTACATCTCTCGAGCACTGTCCCAAATATCTTTCGCGATGGCCATGAAGAGGTGGATTTTACTGATTGACGGCACCATGGAGTTGACGAGCCATGACATAACCATAGAATTCTCAGATTTCCATTTGTGGAGAAGACGGGGTTTGTAGGCTGCTTCACGTCGCCTGTCAGGTACCCAATTCTTCCTTTCCTTTCGACTACAAGTTTAATGGATTGGGCCCATTCTCTATAATTTCTCCCATTGAGCTTCTCGTCGGTGAGTTGAAAAGAGGAATTATCAACTCCAATTGAAGTCATGGTGTGACTGGAATCGGTCTCACTGGTTCCGGACTCAACTGATGCGGAGTTTTGATGTTCTGTAGTTGTTTCTGCCATTGATAGCCGGGTATGAGGTTACCCGTGCTCTGATACCATATAGAAAGTTATGGGAACTTCTGTATATTCAAAATAATTAGTTACATCTTACAACCCTAGCCTCTAAATATACTAGAGCACAATGGATGGAAAAGGAAACAAATATTCTATCTAAAGAAAGGAAAATAAATGCTTCCTAAATCAACTCTAATTACAATATTTCCATATTAATTAAAGAACGTGATTTCCTACAAAATGTAAATACTTAAAAGTTGTGCCGAACCTCACGATGAAAATTTGAGAGTACTCGGAGTTAATTGGATAAAGGAAGACGTCAATGGAGTCAAATTTAGTCAAAAGATGATCACAAATCAATTTCCAACCGAAAAGTTATGCTCCAATGTTTTAGTCTCATATGGAAACCCATTTTTGTCATAGAAAGTGATCAAATTGGAGAATAATGTCTGAATCAAAGTTGTAGCCAGATGAGTTAGCTTTCCAACGCAATTTGAATTGCCTCAATCGGATATCACAATACAAAGTTATGATAAATATACTGAAAGAAGGTGCAGCTGCCTGTTTAAAACAAAAAATTTCGTTACACAGTCCGTTATATTGATGCATATTTTTGGCATAGGAAATGATCAAATTGGAGAATGATATCTGAATCAAAGTTGTAGCCAGATGGGTTAGCTTTCCAACGGATTTTGAATCGCCTCAATCGAATATCGGAATACAAAATTATGATGAAAATACTGAAAGAAGCTGCAGCTGCCTGTTTAAAACAAAAAATTTCGTTACATAATCCATTAAACCAACAAATTCCGTTAAATAGGCACTTTTTATATATATATATGTATATGTTGTGTGTGTCTGTGTGTTACAATTATTTATTTTAAAATTTACTTATTTATATGCAAGTATAATATTAACTGTCAATTTTTATAAAAATTGTAGCAAAGTAAAAAGTTGTTAATTGTTAAATCACATTATTTTTTAATAATTTCCATTCAAAAGCCTCCTCATATCATTAATAAAATAACAAAAATGCTATATGTACACTCCAAGTGGACATCTAATTTGATGTTTGGTGTGTTGTTAAAAAAGAATTGGAAGAAAAATTGTTTACTTTTTAAAACTGTCCAATATGTGACGAAGTGTAAAGGATGATGTGTATATATAGCATGATTGATAAAATAAATAAAAACCAAAAGTACGATACAATATTTTTGTCCTTCATTTCAAAACACGCTAGCAAACTCATAAATCATTATTGAATAATAAATATACTAGTTTAATGGTCAACCCGTATATGATTTAGATAAATATTGGATTTTTAATATATTTTGATAAAAATTGATGAAATGTATGGTCGAAAAATTATGGGACCCATATTTGTTTTTAAAATTAATTATTAACTTTCATTTAGATTTCAATAAATTTTGCAACTGAACCAAATAGGGGCTCATTCACGATCACTACATTTGACTTTGCTATATTAGTAAATGATTAAACTAATTGTATATTTCTAGTGTACATTAAATTTGACACTGTGTGATGTGTAGAAAATTGTATTGTTGATTTGAATAAGTGGGATTCAAATCAATGACCAAGATTGTTGCCATGTCAAAATTAATATCAACCACAATGTACATGTGGAAGAATTGGTAAGTAAAACATAAATAATGTGAACCAACGAAACTTAATATTTTGTATTAAAATTGTCGCTTTTGATATCATGTTATCTACGTGAGTTTAGACTTTTTAAATATATAATTGGCGTAATATTGAACTTTGGTAATTCACCTATTTTCATCTATACGACATGGCTTATAGTTAATCANGGGGGGGGGGGGGGGGGGGGGGGCGCAGAAGAAAGATTAGAACATTAAACAGAACAGAAACATGTGTGTCTATGTCTCTTCATCTAAGCAATTGCAGAGGAAATAATAGAAAACACACTACAACCAGGAACTAAGGTAGACAGGTATCATTTCACATGAAATGTCAATATAGAATCATATAATCACTGGTTCATAATCCCGAAGTTTACCTGGGTGTATTACCAGGTTTCCAGCGTTTGAACTGCAGTAAAATGTCGCACTCTTTAACGTGGCACGACACAAAGCTATGGCCTCCTTGATTTTCATCTCTGTGAAAGCATAACCCAGCAATGAGAATATGGTCAATACGTGTGCCGTAGTTGAACTCCTCTGCACCAGAATTCGTTGGCCAGCAAGTGTAGGCTTCTCTTCTACATGCCAATTTAATATCAGAAAGTGTTAATCACGTACAACAATAATACTTGGAATGATCACAATATAAATAGCCAATTATCAAAACAATAGAAAGGAACATGGATATGCGAAGAAATCACATTGACTAAAACACATGCTACGTGAATTAAATTTTCGAGCAACTTTAAAATAATCCTTCCACATAAACACAAAATCCAAATCGGGATGTTCACCTCTCTGGATGTTTTTCTCTGAAAACATCAAAAAATTGTCCCCCATTTCCCATTAGCAAAGATCGAAACCATTTTCTAAACCTGCAATGCAGGTAGTTAAGTGGTAAGTACATATGACCTTATGGTCGTACCAAATCCAAGAGAAGGCATCAATTGATGTGCAGTATGTGATTTTGTCAAGAAGAAAATATTTTCAGCCAATAACTCACTCATTTTTCTCAAACTCTGGTCCAGCGTCACATCGATCTATAGCGCCAGGAGCAATGTTGAGATCCCCAACTACAAATACCCTGCGTCCCCGTCGCAGAAGGCAATCCCATCTTCTCTAAAGCAAAATTACTAAAATGAATATGGAAGTGTAAATATCCAACATAAAAATAAATAAATCAGTGATTCAAGCCATTTTAAGTTTTAACCCTAAAAGTAGGACAACGCAATTTATTATCCAAACAATCAAAATTTTGGGGAACCTTTTTACTGTCAAACATCCAATTTTTTGCTTTTCTGGACATAAAACTGATTTTTTTTCTTTTTTTTTTTTTTTCCTTTTTGCCGAGTATGACATGACAGTATTGTGGTGAGTGGTGACCAGCGAATAAATTAATTCCTTGCAGAGCTTCAATTATTTAATATTCCAAACTATACATATCCCCTGTCTTGACAACATTCAATGTTAATTCCACTACACAATTTGAACCCCACTTTGTTTAGTTTAAAGACTACACAAAAGCCATGAAATGTGAAGATTTTACCTAACAACCATAGATAAACATTGTCAAACACCAACATTCACCATTTTTTGTGTCATTATGGACAACTGATTTACCTGTAGTATTTTGAAAAAATTGAACTTAAATTGAATCCTTTCTGTATCATCACATTCAGCTCTAGGCCCATATACATTGAAAAGAACTGCAAACCAGATAATAATTCATTACTGAACAGCAAATACAACATATTGCTCAGCATGACTATTGAAACCACGAATGTAAAATAATAAATACTGATACCAACATATTGTTCAGTAAGACTATTGAAAACCACGAATGTAAAATAATAAGCACTGATAGTTATTAACTTATGCTCACCAAAATGACCGTGGTCAGTGATTATACAACGCCCTTCTCTGTCAACTTTCAAAAGCTCATCTACCGAAAAATCTTCGAGGCCTTCAACCACTGAGTCATCCCTTCTTGATACATCCCCTGAGAAATGCTCAAGAAGGCCAGTGAAGCCTTCCTCTGCAGCAAGTGGCAAAGCCACTTCTTCACTCGAAAATGCAGACTTGACTCGGCAAAATGTCGCAACACCTGATTAAACACACAAAACTAGCAATAGATTCACATTCCAATAAGGGAAGATTCAATTCCTAAGCAGTACCTCCATACTCAAAAAGAGAGTATGAGTTGACCATAAAGTAAAACATCTTATTTATCAAATTTTAACATCAAAAACTTGGCATGGATGTATAACTTGATAAGAAAAAATACTCACTTTCCATTAATAATGCTGTTTTTAGCTGATTATGTTTCGAAAAATCCTAACCAAATTTGATAGCAAATGTAAGGTACTGGCAATTTGATAAATTTTTTAAGGGGAAGTTTTTGGACTAGTCTACTTTTTTGTTCAAAATGAAAATTGTCTCCCGTGGCTCACCAATTTTTTTTCTTAAATATATCAACTCAGTCAGGCAAAATAAATAGCCTCTAAAGCAAAATGACGAAATTCTTGTCAAGATTAGAGTTTCCAAATGGATCACAAAAAATTGTCAACTTGCCTAGTTTAATGTGAATACCTAGACGGGTAGGAAGAATTGATAAAAAATTTCAAAAAGATAGATTTCATTTTCTAAAATCAACCCCATCTAATTTCCACATCTTCTACAGTTAACAATTATCTAAATAGTACAAAGCTAGTAACAATAAATAAATAACTAAATAGAAAAAGAAACAGTGTTTACCGGAATATCCAGTGCGGCCTTTATCAGAAGTGCGAGTGCAAGAGAAAAAAGACTCGTATCCCTCTGCCCTCGCCAAATCTGCTCTCATTTCTTGTCTCGACAGCTTTGTCTCCTGTGTAAATAACAATAAAAATTATGTATAAATAAAATTATTCATTATTGGGGTAAAGAGCAAATGGGCAAACCTGAAAGCAGATGATATCGGCATCGAGCGAATCGAGTAGCTTGAGAAGAGAACCGAATTGTGAGACGCGAGGCCTTAGTCCGTTCACGTTGTAGGTCACTATCTTCATTCTTCATACAAACATATGTTTAGGGTTTGGGGATGGGGAAAGCGCTTGCTGCTCCGATCACAAGAGAAGTAAGTGATATGGAAGTGCAAACAGACCCGAAATTTCAATCGAAATGAACAGAACAAAGGGAAAAGTATGGAGCTTGAAATATCAATTGAAATTTTTGATGCCTTCTAGGGCTGTCCATGGGTCCGTTCGGTTCGGTTCGATTCTGAAGATATTCGAACCGATCCAAAACTTTCGGGTATTTAATAAATGGACCCGTCGGGTCCAAATATAATTATGGAACCGTTCGGGTTCGGTTCCGTTCGGGTCGGTTCGGTTCCGTACCATAATTAAATTTTTTAATATTTTCAGCAACACTACATAAATAAAATTAATAACATTTCATTCGTAACTTTTACAAATTAACATAGCCCAATTCAAAAATATATACAAAACTAGCCGTCCAATAAGATTAATTCAATGCATGCAAATACCAAAAAATAGATATTAATATTACAGCAAAACTACATAAAGTATATTCATTTGTTTCAAATTAAAATGGGCTAATGGATTTTAAAATGATTTGGGTTTAAAAATTAAAATTATGAAATAATCTAATTTATTCAATTAATTTGCTAATTTGTATAGGAAAAAAATAAAATAATTTAATTAATTCAATATAAAAAATAAAAAAATTATTTAGTTTCGGTTCTTGTTCGGTTCTTCGGTTCTTGGTCTAGACCCGAGACCCGACCCAAACCATCGGTTCTCGATTCGGGTACCCGTTCGGGTATTTAATTTATGAAGAACCGCTCGGTTCGGTTCGGTTCGGTTCGGGTTCGGTTCGGTCCGGTTCGGTTCGGGACTTTTGGACACCCCTAATGCCTTCTCAATTCCGTATTTTTTAGGGAAAGTTTAAATGTCAACTTTCACGTGCCCATTTGCAAAAATGTCCGAAAATTTTCAATGTCCATTTTCCAATGATTTAGACCAAAATACCCTTATTAACATTATTAAATTCCTCACTAAAGAAAAAAAATTATAAAATTAAAAATTGTGTTATCCAATAAAATTTTGACACATAACCTACACTACTTATTACAAAAAGTACAAATGTCAATCCAAATTAAATGCATGGGTCGGATCAGTTTAAAAGCAAAATTGGGTTGGGTCCGTTAAAATCTCACTCTATCTCTACAGTCTCTCTCCGTTTTACGACTTCAGTTCCCCTTTTGAAACCCTAACTAATTTCACAAATTTCCTTCATTTCAACCGCAATATTACGGAGGCATCATCAAGAACTTCGCAGGAAATTGTACCAGGGTTTTCTCAACTTCATATGGACATTGTATGATATTAGAGGCGGAATTTGAGGCTATTTGTGATGTGATACTATTGGCTAGAGAGCTTGATTTGTCAGATATTTGGGTTGAGGTAGATTCGACTGTTGTCATTCACTGAATCACTAGAGGTGGCGAACCGTGGCCTATCCAGGGGATACTCAAACAGATTGCAGATATCGTTTCATTTGACAGAGATATGGTCTCCCACATCTTCAGAAAGGGGAACCAAGTTGCAATGCACTTGCTACCGAGGGTTGGCATCATCGTAGATAACGGGAATATGGACCAGCCGATCTACCACGACATATCAAGGCGCTTGTTCAGATTGACAGGTATGGTTTGCCTAGCACTGGAGTTTAGGTTTTTGTATTTTGCTTTTATTTTTAGTTTTGCTTTAACTTGTTCTTTTTGTAAGGGAAATAGTACTTCATTATTTATTAATTTCATTGATATCATTTGTAACCACGGTATTCTTTCGTCACAAGTGAGGACATATTAATAAAATTTCGAAGGTCCAGCTCTCCTTCCACCAAAAAAAAAAGCCCAATATTACGTTGTAAAATCACTGAGATTTTGTTCTTCTTCATTATCGCTACCATAGGTCGTATTTCGCTGGAGAAGTGGACTGATTTTCCCCGCAATTACGGAGGATGCAGGGTATTAGAGGTGAAAACTTTTGGTAATATAATTCTTCGGCGACTGTGATCAAGAAGCCGTGCAATCGTAGGTTAGGAATTTGAACCATCCATTCTGTTGTGGGGCAATAAAGTACACTATTTGCTTTATTTCACTAATAGCAATTATATTGGAATATGTACTGATTATTACTTTGCTTAATATGCAATTCTGTTTTTATTATTGTGATTATTTATGTATATACATATATTTATGTGTGAGTGTATTTATCATGTGTTTTTGAGTTCCATTACAGATTGTTCAAAATGTGATTTTCATTATATTTATGTTTGTTGGTAGTTTTCCTTTTTTGTAAATGGAGACTAGAACGGAGGAAAATGGGTTGTTTGATGTATTACATGTGGATTTTGCATTTTTTTTAATATGTATTTGAACGATTAATTAATGGGTGTCAATTTCTTGTTGCAATTTTTGAAAAACTATTTCTAGATATTAATTAGCAATGACATTGCAAGCAAATAGTATTTGTAAATTTAAGAAGTATTACTTTTGTTTTTGTTCTATATTCATGAAACTTCTCATGGGACAAGTTTGTTCTTTGGTAGAGGAAATTCTCCTTATTGAAATTATGATTAGTTAGAGACTAGAGTATAGAAGTACGAAATTATGATTATAATTTGTTTAGTTTCCTGCTAAAATTCTTTGTAAAGCATAACAAGCACCCGAGATAGTGCAACGTAACCATTGCTTTATATCAAACAAAAATGATTTTTCCCATTGAGATAGCCTGATGATTTCATTCTTGGCTCATCATATGTCTTCTCATTTGTACAAAGTATTTAGTGTTTATTTATTTACTCTCAAAAGATAGTAGCCTCACTTGTGTTGAATTAAGATCAAATTTTATAGTTCCTATGCATTTTAACCATGAACAGATTTTTTTAATAATCTATCATCATCACCGAAGAAAAGAAAGTATAAATTCGTATGTGGAAATTACAATAAATGTCCATTTTCAAATGACCATTTGCAAAAATGTTCAAAATTTGTTACATGTCCATTTTGCTAAAAGTTAGACCAAAATGCCCTCAATAGAGATTTCTAATTCCACCATGAAAACAACATTATTCATATAATAATTAAATATTGTATTTGCAAATAGAAATTTGACACACAATCTATATTACCTATTTGAAGAATTACAAATATCAATTCCTGCATTAAATGCAACATTTTCCCTAGAATTTGGTCAATAACCACCGAGTTTTCATGTTTTTTAGTTGGGTATTAACTGAATCAATTATAGTTATGGGTATAACCATGCAAATCAATCCAAATCAGATTCTCACATAATTTTTAGTTTTGTTCTTTTGAAATGGGTTGGTTCAATTTAGGTGGTAGGCCCATCGAACCCGTAACTAACCATGTAGCGATTTATTATTATTCAATCTAGAATTATGATCATAACCAAACAGCTCCCAAGTCATTTTGAAGTTAGCTTGGTCCGTGAAGTCTAATAATTTCTTAGAGATTTGATTACTTGTCCTTCATTTTTTTAACATGCAACCTAATTATCATGTCTATATTTGTTGTATATCCAGTCTAACTAAGTTACATTCAAACTGACTCCAGAGATTATTCATCAGGTATAGTTTTGTTCTTTAAAGCTCGTGAACTAGAAAAGTACTTTCATTTGGATTATAGATAAAATATGCGTTTAGCTATTTTTAGTGCTGAGTTTATATGGGATAGCACTTTTAATTGATACGCTGATTGTTACATCGGAAGTGGCCCAAATGACATAAGACTTGGCGGAAAACATGATTTCCCAATTATCTTTTCCCATTTTCTTACTGAAATGACATATGCGTTGTGTAACTTTGTGTGCTAGATTCAATGGGAGAATAATGCTTTAACATTAAAACTATTTTCATTCAGTGATAGAGTACTTTTTTATATTCTGCACAAAACTTCAAGCTACTGTAGGATATTGCTGTGTTATTGTGTCTTCCCATAAGTGAAGCATAAATATTAAAGCCAAATGTACTGAAGCTCCACTAGAATAATTTGTACTAGAAAATAATTTGTTTCTTTATGTGCAACTTTTGTTGCTGGTCATTAGTTAAACATCTGAATATATGTCTCTGACATATCCCATATTGAGATAATTTCATGTTTATATACATCTCACAAACTGATACAAATCTAAAGTGTTCAGAATTTTAAATTTTGAACTTCATAATATTCTGCATAAGTTCAATAATATACTTCTTCAAGTTAACTTATGCTATTTTGAAATTTTTTGTATACATAGTCGTAATTGTTTTTTCTTTCTACTTTACATTGTTTTCAGTTATTTGTCTTCTCTCACTATTCCCTTATACGTTCTTATATTTTTCGTCTTGTTCGTTTCACTTATTTATAGATGTCTCCCTCACACCGCTATAAAATACCGGAGGAAGAATGCGTTCCTAGCCAAATTTCACAAGTAAGCCTGATTACGCCTAAAGAATAACGCGGTAGTTGTAGCACAATTTTGGGATGTCGTATCCATAGGGAGATGGAAGAATATTTAAAGGATCAAAAAGGCTGAATTGTTCTCTCAAACATGTAATAAAATTCAATATTGAAACGTGAAATTAAAATCAATAATTAGAAGCGATGAAACGTCGGAATTCCCTCAATTGGATTGGATCAATCATATCAATTATTCATTTTTATAACACAATTAGAGGCTTTCATCCTCACACTCTAATCGGAAGATATATCGTGAAAATGAATTTAATTTACAAATGTAATCATAGAATTTAGACTTAAGACATATTCGCACAATTTTATTGGAACAAGATCAAAGATCGACCATATACATCAAGCATAAGGCAGTAATCAATCCGTCAATAAAGTGAAATTGAGGTTNTCCATGAAAAATCTTGTAAGTATTAAACCGATTTTAATATAAATTCATGAGATTGAAAGTCTAAATTCTAGCATTGTTTGTCAATGAAATGATCAAATTTAATGAATTAAAAACATGAA